AAAAAAAAAAAAAAGTTTTCTCCTCTGCTACTTTTAAATTTCACACCCCGGGAATGGATTTTCCTTAAATCGCATTAGACCCTTTTATAATGTAAAAAGTTTTCGAAACGGGTGGTCGTGTCGTGGAGAAGTTGGAATTGAAAATTCCGCCCGACTTATGCGATCGTTTACGATGGTGAATTAGGGATAAATGGACAATCTAGGCGTGCGTGAAGTTCTCTCTGAGAGAGAGAGAGAGAGAGAGAGAGAAAGATTCTTATCGACTTCGATCGACACTTTGTCGGGGAGGAAGGAAGAAGTCGGTGGAAGGAAGAAGGAAGGAGAAATTCGGTGGACGTCGTCGTCGGTGAACCGGTTGCAAAACGATAATAGCCGGTGTTAAAGCACTTTAAAAAGCATAGTCCATTATCGTGCGGGGCGAGCCAAGTACGCGTAACGCTTAAAAGCTGGAAGGAAAAGCTCGTGGAAGGCGGGGTGAGGCGAGGGGTGTAGGACATAGCCACTCTCCTCCGCCTGGTATGTATATAATATGGAGGAGGGAAAATAAAAACAGGAAGAGAAGACGGGGAAGTATCCTCGGAAGAGTGGAACGTTTGCCCCGTTGGGATGCCCAGAGTCGAACGCCTCCAACATTTTACCGTGGATTTATCTTATCGATCTCTTTTTTCCCTCCCGAATGGGCGTTGGTCCCGTATTAATTCCGTACGAATTCTTCGTTTCGAATTTCGCGAATTCTTCTCGAGGAAAAGAAGAGGTTTTTAGAATTTCTTTCGAGGTTTAATCCTTGCTCGATGTGAAATTAATAAAAATATACGGAATATTTTATCTTGTTTTCCTCTCTTCTGACATCTTCGTCCTTTTTCTCTCCCTCGCGCGATATCAAATTTCGGAAACAAGAATCGACGCAAGATTTATTCGGCACTGAGAGAATTAAGACGAGAATTAAGGTATCTCCGCGTTTATTATTTCTCTTTACCATGCATAGTGGTATCAAATTGATACCACCTCTCGTTAAAGAATAAATTCGATCGGGGTGGAGCGAGTTTGGTTAACGATGGACTAGAGTTAACTCCGCATCCTCGAGGAGGAACTAGATTCTCGGCGTGGAAAAATTTTTTGGAGAGAACAGGAGAGAAACAATGGAGGATGAAAATTTCTACAGACGTCTCTAGTTTCCTCTCGTTACTATTCCGGTCTGCTTCGAAACCGCGATAGTGAGAACGATTTCGCGAGACGTGCTCCTTCCACCAACTCTCGACCTCTTGGGGGGGAGGTGCAGCTGTGGGAAGTAACGATGGAAGAATGAAGGGAGCAGGAGGGGAGGTAAAAAGGGAGGAAGAAGGAAGGTTTTGGATTTTTCCACAAGGATCCCACGAGATATTCCCTCTCCTGCGAAAATGATACGCTTCCCTTCCCACCTTTCCTTCGTTCCCTTTTTATTATTCCAGTCAAATCAAATTCGTGGATCACGCGGAACGAAAGAATGGACGCGTTCCTTCCGCGGCCATATCCACTCTTGCCCCCCTCGCCATTTTATCGGTCCATCCATTATAAATTTTCGTTCCTGCGAAATCTCTTTCCTCCGAAGAACTGTTTCTTCGATCCAACCTTCTACCTTTTCGTACCTTGAATTTTATTCCTCGGCTCCGTGACAATTTATCTTGTGTATAAAACTTGTTTCCACGAGAGAGATCTCGAGCCATCGTTATTTAAGATCAGCCGTCAGAGGAAAACCATAGATTCTCGACTTTCTTCCCCTCACCCCTGTTATGGTTATTCGTTGCGCAACATTCCATTAAAATATTTAACAAATGGAAAGGGAGGAATTCGTAATTCCTGCGGCAAGATCCCCTTTTTGGGAGTCGTTGGAAGCGAGAAGAGGTGATCGGATCACGGATCGAGTAGAATTCGAGAATTCCAACGAGATGTCTCCTTCTTCCTCGCTTCAAATTACCATCTCGAAGAATCCTCTTCCCGATTTTTCGACTTTTTCTGGGCATTTCCCCCTCGAAAATTTCCCTTCTCCTCTCTTCTCCTTTTTTAAATTTTCTTTCGGGTTAAAATAAACCTCGGCGATGACGAGCGAGTTATCTATCGACAGAAACCAACGATAGAATTTGGATAGGGAAGAAAATTGTAATTGAAAGTAGGAGAGACAAGAACGTCCGGGTCTCGGATGAAGACAAATGCGGTCGTTTTTTATCATTTTTTTCTCGCGACATCGACGCATTATTCCCGTCATAAGTTATCGCTTTATTACCATCGTCATTACGGTGTTTTACGATCCACGTGACCGTAAAATATGGCGTCGTTATGAAAAAAGGCTCAGAGCGGGTTGCCTTCTTTCAGGATACGCGTATCTATGAGAGATCGCGTAACACGGTATCGATTCTTTTTTTTGGAATGGGACGATTCGAAAATATTTTAAATACGTTTCTTCTCTTTTAATCTCTCCGTATATGTATGTATAATTGAATGTTCCATAATTGTGTTTTTTGCGTTCTCTGTTATGAACGAGTTCGTTTATAAAAATTATTAGAAACGAGACAAGCTCGATTCTGGAAATTGGAGATAATAACTTTGCTTTAATTTCGACATTGGAATGCAATAATAATGGAATCACGTCAAATGTATAAATAAATTCGATGTATTTTTTAATACAATTCTACGAATACCGCGCGAACGCCGCCAATTGGCGCTGCCTCTCGGCAAGATTGCAAAATTGGATCGGATGATATCGTTTATGCCAACCGTGTTGCGTGTGCCAAACGTGTGATTATCGTGTAATAATTTAAATCAAAATCAAACTAGATAAACAAACAAAATCGAATATCACAATTCTAACTTTTTCTAACTTAAAAATA